CATCACGCCTGTGTCGCCACATTTAGAAACGCCATATTTTCTAAAAGTGCAGATGTGTGCAGAAAACACTTTTTTTTCCTATCCAAACTTCCAGAGAAGGCACTGAACCCTGAACCTGAACCCAGACGCGCAGATCAGTTGTTTGAAACCGGCCTCTCAATGTAAACTCCTTCCCGCCTCTGAATCGGGCTCGGTTACAGAGGAGGTACGGACCGTGTGCTGTGTGTATTTACCCTGGTTAAAGATGTTATTTCTACCACATGAGCTGACGCTGGGAGAGCCTGCGTTTAAATGTAATCATACTTAGTGAACTGATCATAGGCGATCTGCCGTAACGGGATACGTGTGTAGCCGGGTAAAGATGCTCGCCGCTCTGGAGGAGTCGAATAGGAAGATATGGTGGATGGCTGGGCTTTATTTGTGTTGAGATATGAGATGTTGTCCATGTCACACGTGTGATGTCTTCCTCCACATGTCATCTGCTCCGCTCAGACCGTGTGGTTTTTAGCCAAGCCCCACAGATGGAGTCATTTCAACCCCTCTAAATACCATTGGTTAGTCTGAAGGCTAGTTCTATCATGACAACTCTCGGAAAGATTGGCATGGTAATGTACATGACAATGTTAATGTATTTGGTCTTGGCGGAATTGATCTGCTACGCTGCTGCTGCGGCGGCAGAGCAAGTACCGAGACTTGCTACTGCCATGTATGGAAGCATGGTGATTGCGACTTTTTATATCACATTTTTTACTTTTTTCTTCTTGCAATTGTGAGTTTATATCGTGCAATTCTGACTTTATAACATGCAATTGTGAGTTAAGTCAGAGTTTTGAGATATAAATTCGCAATTCTGAGAATATATCAGTCACACCCCCCCACCCCCAAATAAACTCACAATTGTAAGAAAATGTCAATTGTGAGCTGACTTTTTTCCTCAGAATCGGACTTTATAACTCACAATTACGAGTTTACATCACACAATTCTAATAGAAAAAGTCAGAATTACGAGACATAAATTTGCAGTTGCTAGAAAAAAAGAATTGTGAGATAGGCCTACAAACTTGCATTTGCGAGAAAAAAGTCAGTGTTTATATCACACAGTTCTGTCTTTATTTCTTGCAACTGTGAGTTTATATCATGCTATTCTGAGAAAAAAAAAATCTGAATTGCGGGTTTATATCTCGCAATTCTGACTGAACTTGCAATTGCGAGTTTGTGTCATGCAATTCGGAGAAAAAAGAATTGCGAAATAAAAAGTCGCAATTACCTTTTTTAAATTATTTATTCAGTTTGTCAAATACGCATAAAACGAGTGTGCCATGAAATACATAATGTAATGCGTGTTGTAAAGATTGGGAGTAAAAACAAAAGAAGCAGAAAAGCTTACAGCTGCATGAGTCGTGACTGTCACGTTAGCCTGATGGGACCAAACTCCCTTTGTGATTTTAAAACGTAAGACAGTACCCAGATTTGAAGACTACAGTAAGATTTAACTTCTACTGTTAATAAGATTTTGGTAGGCTACTATTAGATGGATAGCCTAAATGCCCTAATTCAGATGGGCTACCTGTTTTTTATTATTTTTTTTTTTTTATGGTATATCAAAAAGTGTATATTTTTTAAATGTGATTGTTGATACATTTTACCAGTTTTTATCATACTTTCAAAACAAAAATTAAAATAGGAAAAATATGCAATATGAAAATGATTGAAGACAAAATGTGTTTTACTGAGAAAATCAAGATTTGTTTTTTAAAAAGCCTTTTTCCAAAAGGTACATCTGGAAAAAGGGGGGTCGTCTTATAATCAGGGTCGTCTTATATTCGGGCCAATACGGTAATAACACACGACACCGAACTCGACGTGCTTGTCAAATGCACTGTTTGGTTTCATTTTGAGATAACACATTTCATTCATTTGCATTATTCCTGTGAACTGCGGCAGCTAAATGCCAAATAGATAAAAAGAAGTGTCCTTTAGCCTTAAAACCACTTCCTTTTTGGGATTCCTTTGCATAATGAGCCTTTGATAAGGCACTTTGGGAAATGGGAGGGGAAGTGAATGCAGTGAGCAGCACCATTAAATACCCAATTCATCACAGTCACAGTTTAAAGGAACAGTGGGCAAAAATAAAATTCCGTCTATTAACTCGCCTCCATGTTGTGCTTTATTTTAGTGGAACTTAATACATCTGTCATAGCTTTCGCATCTCATTTGAATATGCAGATTTGGTGCATAACGATTGGTTATGAGACACCAATGGCATTTGGCTTCAGGCTAATGCACGTTAAATGACAACTGCTGGTTATATGGATCAGCAGATTCTTTTATTTCATTTGAGATGTGACATTTACACAAAACTTTAATCTAGAAAAGCATACAAGGAGGGTTGTAATATACCATTTTAGTGCATTTTGACGATTCACAGTCTTTTCCCTTTTAATAAGAGTACTCATGGAAATAAAAATGATATACTTAAGCGCGAACTGACTGTAATTTTTCAGACACTTTTTTGCAATTTTTTTTATTGCAGTTTAAATTTATATTAAATGCAATTAGTTTAACTTTTTTGACCCACTTTAATAGAATTACATCTTTATATGTAATTTCATAAATATTCTTGAAATATGGTTAAAGTGTGCTGCCAAATGTACTGACAATCATGTATGATAAGCTAAAATATGCTTTAATGTCATTTTTATTAAAAATTTGTGTCATGCATTTAAATATATTTTTAATTACACATTTGTAATGATTAAGTTGCAATTCAGTACATGTAAAACATATGAACTTTCTGTAATATCAAATAACACACTACCGTTAAAATTATAATCAAGTGCTTTAGTATGTTGGTCAACACGTCAAAATAAGTGTACTTCTTTAAAGCATGATGAAAGATTAATAAAGTAATTATTTAAATTGTACTTTAAGGTAAAACTTTTAATTTGGCATTATTACAAAGTATGCACTTTGTGTGTTAAGAAACAGTCATGAAAGTGTCTCTCTTTAAGTGGCTTTTTATTTCATCAACATTATATTAGTTACAGTTTTTAAAAATATATACTTTAAATATTTTAAGTAAACGACTAGAGCACATTCAAGTGCACTTCTTTATCACAGGGGTGTTGACTATTCATTTGCATTGTGTGGAAAAGAGCAGCGTGAGCATTCTACTAAACGTCTCATTTTGAGTTCCACAAAATAAACTCATACAGCTTGACCATTTTCATTTCTGGGTGAACTGCCCCTTTAAAATTGAACACAGATTGACAATGCATGAAATATGTCAAAGCGTATATGCCATTTGAAGTTGTTGCAATAATAATTCGTAGGATGTGACCTCGGGCATCTATTCAACTCGGAGGTCCGAGGGAGTCCGGCCACACCAAACTGAACTGTGAACTTGCAACTTCCCGTGCTGTAGGCGTCTGTTGCTAGGAAACAAGTGGCCCACTCCGTCAATTTCAGCTGGGGTGAAATGCGAGTGTTTTTCTTCACTTTTTTTCTATGAGCTTTGGCTGGCCATCTTTTATTGATGTACAGTTTCCTTTGAGTCGCAATGAGACTTTCTGTGGGCCAGGACACTTTCAAAAGAGAGGAAATGGGGGTGTGTTCGGAGGTCAAATGGTCCCTTTTGTGGGGCTCCTGGGGGACAATGACAGTGGGGTGATGCTATGTGGGGGCGAAGGGGTGAGATCCTTTGGGACAGACAGGTCTGGGGAGGGGAGATGCTGCATGCTGCCAGAGCCCATGCGGAAAAGTCCAGCACAAATATACGGCAGAGGCAGAGAGAGATCATCAATTTTTAACCACGCTTCGTACTGTATTCTTTCTAGCGCAGCATAAGCAAACAAGTTTGCCCCAAGGGCTGAAATTTGAATAAGCAAATTCTTGCTCCTGATGTTTTTAATGAGTGCAGATGCAACAGAGTAGACTGGCTTTTTATGGCAGCCAAAAACGAGGCCACAAAATAATTACTTTCCTTGTCAATAGCAGGGAAGACTGTAACGCTAAATAAATAAGAAATAAAAGCACAATGCGCTTATACCCTTGTCATAGCAGGTATGTGCAAGTACAAATTCAATCCTCCACCTTCTTCCAAAAAATAGACAGATAGTACAGTACAATAAGAATTCATTTGTAAACAATAGTTAACATGAACCAACAATGAAAAGTACTTCTAAAGCATTTTTATTCTTAGTTCATGTCAATGCCAACATTTAATAATATGTTATTAAAATCAAAAGTTGCATGTTTATATTATAGTCTAATATGAACTAACAATAAACAGTTATATTCTTATTAACTAACATCAACTATGTTTTGAGATTTTTATTATATAT